TGTGTATTGACTATACACCCATAATGCAATGGAATTTAGCTTCATTTTATGATATAGAGGCTTTGATAATCTGATGAGATTGTCAATGCACTTTCCCCAGAAATGCTCATGAGCTTCAAATAACTGGGGAAATAAATTTCCCTGGTGTCCTGACATGGTTTCTCTCCATTCTCTAATAAGAAGTGATTTTAAAACTGATTGTTAAATGAGTACAGCAAATGGTATTCTTTCTTGATTTACAAGAGTTTGTTCCAGTTTAGACCTGATGCTATTAAGCCAGTCCAGAATCCAGCACAGCACTTAACCATAATCGGAACAGAGTAGAAATTTGTTGGATTGGATTGAGTGTCTATAGGAACAGTGTTGCCTTTCTTGTCAGTAGCGCTTGATCTCCAAAGCAAGAGATTGATCCTCAGTCCCCATTTTCTCATATTATGCCTCTTTTCCCCTTTCAGGATCCTTCTTGAAGTAGACGTTCTCTCATGTACATGATGAAATTGGTCCATTAAAGTGATCTCATTGATATTTCAGAAATTCAGGATCTGAGACTAGCCCATCTGCATGGTCAGGCTTAGGCAAGTTCAATGTGGTGGAAATAATTGGGACAAAACACCTTTCTAGCAATAATGCATTTTTGTATAGCCTTTACATAATTTACAGCATTTTTATAGTCTCAAACTGTCCAATGTCCTTTCATAAATATGACTTCCCTTGTTCCCAATTTACCACTTGCAATCAGTAAAAGATAAAACCAGAACTTTAGCCTAGTCCTGCTCCTAAATTCTAGTTTTCTTTGTCAGATCATGAAGGCAGTCATGTACAAAATTTATTGTTTCCATTTTCAAATGCACTTTGAAGTCTAAGATGTTGTATCACTCCAGGGGTAACAGAGGATTGTCCCACAAGTTGGAAGTCCTCTAATCTTCTCCTTCTTGGTCACCTTAAGCTGGGTGCAGGATAGAGTTCACAATCAATCACCTCCATCTGCTCAAAAGTAGGGAAAAACATATGTCCTTGTTCTTACTATTTCCTGAGATGCATTTAACAATGAGCAGTGCCCTACACTGTGAGGGGGAAAAAAAGGACAGGATTGAAATGCAATTATCTGAATACAGGTGAATGCAAATGACTGCTATAGGATCTTTCTCTTAAAACATGTCTCACCTCCAGCAGAGGCTGCAAAGAGTGAAAAGGAGGGGGAAAGGCTTGTGGCTAAAAATCAATGGCTCTGGCCTCCTTTCAACCTTAGGGCTCTTCTCCACATAGCTCTCATCACAGAGAAAAATCAAGTGAGTACTCTAGAGCACAAGAGAAATGCAATTCTCATGATTGTGTGGTCCCCAAGACTACCTCAGTCAGAACCGCCTGGAAGTGCTAGTTAAGCAAGTAAGATTCCCAGACTCCGTGCCTGCACCCACCCCACCCCACCGTACCCTGGACACCTTTCTACGGAGGGTCTCTGAGGCTGGGTCCAGAAATTTGCCCCCATAGTAAGCTCCCAAAATGATTGTTGTGACATTAAAGTTTGAGAAATATTGTTGTAGAGACTCGATTAGATCATGCAAGCATGAGGAAGACTTTTGAGGAAACACCTTGGTGAGAGTTGTTTTGTGAGATTTCTTTTAGAATTCACTTATCATTAGGTAGATTTTTTAAAAGCTGATGGAAACTTGTGCCTATATCATTTCAGTTAGAAGCACAGATGTGACCTCTAGCTGCATCCCTGCATACAGGGTGTTCTAATTTCTTTTCCCTGTTTGCACAGCTCTCAGCTCCTTTATTCTCACCTCCTGCAGGTCCCCAGTTGTCTCTGTTTGCCATCTTGTCTAGTCTCCCTTACAGTCAGGCACACATGTACAAACACATAGATTCAAACATGTATGGATAAGTGTTTTTTATCTGTATGTATGTCTATGCATTAATATAGAAATTAATTTCCTATTTTTTTCTGTGTCTTGCTTTTCTCACTCAAAAATCAGTTTATATAAGTACTATTTTCTCCATTCACAACTTATCATTCTAAAGATTTATATTGGTTGCAAAATGAAACTAGTTACAAGAATGTATACATTTTTGAATTTTTAAATTCCTCCACTGTACAACATTCTAACTCTTCAAAATAATAAATATTGAGTTCTGAGTTGCCACACAGGTATAATCGAGAAAGCAAACAAAAGCAACCAACAAAACAAAATGCAAACACCTTTTCTTCAGTGAGAATCCCCTTCAAGTCTTTCAGATAGATAGATAGATAGACAGAAAAAAAATTTCTGATATTTGTCTGACCTCACCAACAGTCAAATCTGATAGAGCCAGTTTTTCTACATCTATAAATATGCAGGACCAGTCAAAGTCAAAGAACATTTTCTGGGAACAACAGCTCGCCTCTTTACTTTTTTTTTTTTTTTTTTTTAATACACTAGGGAGGGAAAAGACAAAGATGTGACCTTGCTAGATCCTCAGACTTCAACTGATCCTTTTTGATTTCATCTATATGTGTCCACAAGGGCATCAAGGTGCACAGTTTATCTATAACCAAGTCCAAAGTGCCAGTTACAGTCCATGGCAAATGACATGTTTGAGATGAGTGATGGAGGAGACAGAGTAAGGGGTAGAAAGAGACCAGCATGAAGTCTGTGCTAAAATGGGGAAAAAACAGCTTAATTATGGAAGAAAAGACACACATAGGATCGCTCACACAGGCAGAGTTGCTGTGGAAGCACATTCCAGGAAAATCTTAAGAGATTACTTTAATAATAAACCATGCATTCTTCAGCAAGCCATCACGGGATTAACTACCGCTTTCCTAGGCTGGGAACATAGTCGTCAGTTTTGTTATTTTTTCCTTTTCCCTCATAGGCAGGTTTTGTGCAAGGGGAAGAATCAGGCAAGGACCAGAGATTTTCAAACCGTGCACTGGATTTCCCTCACCACATATTTCTAGGCAAAAATTTCAGTGGTAAGAAAATAGATGTGGCTTAGGCAGGGTTAACATCAGGGAAGGCTTGGGTGAGTCTCCAATTGCAAGGATGTTCATTTTAGACCTTCTGAGAACTGAGTAACTTTGAACAAGAGAAAATGTTTCCTCAGTGATAAAAAAAAAATGGGTTAAATTTACTTTTGTTCCTTTTTTTTTTCTTAATGTGAGCAGGACTTTGAATTACTGCCAGAAGCAATATCAGCACCCTAGAGACACAAAAATATACTTCAAACCAGAGTTCTCCACTGTTGACTCTGAAGATTTCCAAGCAAAATGACAGAGCTGTCCATTTTAAACTGTGTGAGCCCACTGCTCATAAATAAACTGTTTTCACTAATGTCTTCCCTTGAAACTACAGCTTGTTGCAGATGAAATCTTATTTTTTTTCCTGGCTTCTTAGACAAATCCCCTCTACTTGGTGGGGTAAACATAAGTTAACATTTCTTGGTAAGAGTCTTTCAATTTAAAAAATAGGTTTAAGTGATCACTTCTGATTAGAAAAAAAGTATTACGTATTGGGGTTAATTAAAAGAGAGAACATTTCTTTCTAATTGCCAAAGCCTCTATTTGCTTAAAATCAGCCGTCAATTTCCCAGCTGAAACCAACCCACTGGATTTCTATACCTCCTGAGATGTACCAGAATTAGAGTTCTCTGATCAAATGTTATAAAAACCAATCTAAGAATGAAGTTTATATACCTCTTGTCACCATATGATGCCATTATTTTTAAATAATGGCAAATTATATAAAAATCAGAAGAATATGGAAAACTGTCAGTACCCCAGCTTCATAGCCCTAGGTGTGAGGGGATAGACAGGTGGCCACAGAACCAGCAGAGGCTGGACTTCGACCTCATTGTGCTGATGCTGCTGCCCCAGTCCCAATGAAGAGCAGGGCCGGCCTCTCACACTGAGCTGCTCCAAATTACACAGTGGCTCTGCAGTCTGGGTTAGGCTGGGACCACAAAATACATCTTTGGTGTCCCATGAGTCCCATTTGAACCCCCAGTTTCCAGAGGTAAAATGCAAATCCATTGTGTGTTGCTTACTCAATAAAATCAATAACCTCTTCCCATCCAAGTCACTATTTGGCATTTTCACATGGCGTACACAGTTTCTGACTTAAAAAAAAAAAAAAAAAAAAAAAACAATGGGTGCACAGAAATTACAAAAGTAATTTCATAATTCTTAAAAAGCAACCAAACTTCTGGCTATGTTCTCATAATTTTAAAATGTGGAGGAAGTGAATTCCCTGCTTGTTAAGGTTCATAGACTGTGGTGTGGGGTGTCTTCACTGCTGAGCACTGTGCCAATATTTTCTGTTACTTTATTTCTCAGCTATCACTTTTTCTTAGAGGCACAGGAAATGCTATGGAAATGAGTGCAGATAAGATCATGTCATGTATCTGCACACGGGTGTACACACCAGGGAAGCCAGTGTGTAATCTTGTTTACAGTAGATAGAGAGCTTATTTAGAAAGATTATAGGGACATGAGCAATTTTGTTACAACAATTTCATCGAGTACTGTTACTGTATTTGCAAATACAGGATTCTATTTCATACGTAAATACAGGACGTTTTCACATGCACACACACACTGATTTTCCAACAATGTAAGTGCATCCACATCTGCAATGAAAGAGACACCCATTCCTTTAAAAGGGGGGCATCCCACCGTCCCACTGCAGAATGAGATCTGAGCGCGAGTCCTCTGCCTCTTGGCAGGAAGGTCAGGATAAAGGCAGCCCTTTGTTGAAAGGGCCCCCCGGGTTAGAATGGGGGACTTCGTGGGCCACATCGCTGGAAGTGGCAATCTAGAGAAGGAATTTGTGAAATGAAGATAGGGTGGCTCCCGGCCCTTTCCTGCTGAGTTTCCCTTTCCTGTCCTTATTTGCACCCTCGCCTGTCCCCCTTCCGCAGCCCGGCGAGTGTGGAGTGAGGCGCCTTGGACTGCACCCCCATCCTTCCCTCCTGCAATCGGGCCCCCGCGATCGCCCCCCACTGGCGGGGCTCTCCGAGGCGCGGGGAGCCGAGCGAGCCCTTGAGCGGCGGCTGCTCGAGTTAATCAACAGTTAAGTTTGGAAGACTCAGCAGACACGTTGAGGGGGAGTTACCAAGCCCAGGCAGCAAAAACATCCCGGCGCATTCCAGGGGAGTCCTCAGCTGCCAGCATCTGATTAGAACCATATCTCGCCGGGAGTGGCCGCGCGCTCCGAGGCTCCCGGGCCCGCGGCTATTTAAGCGCGGCCCGCGGTGTCGGCTGCGCTGCAGCCCGGAGGCGGGGGACCCGGGAGTCATGCTCGCGTCGAGAGGCAGAGCCAGCCTGTGAGTACTGGGAGCAGCTTTCAGAGCTGCTTCCCTTTGGTTCCATCTTTTTTTTTTTTTCCCTTTCTTTTTTGGCGACCTGCTCTCTTTTGCTTTCCCCCCTCTTTGGGTGCAGAACTGGGACTGTTCTTGGGGGACACAAGTGGTTTCGTGGCCTGACATCCGAGGAATGCTCCCAGGGGGTGCATTTACCTTTGGGGCACGACTCCAGATGTCCAGTTAGTGACATTTAACAAGCGCCTCCCTTTTGTGTGTGTGTGTGTGTGTGTGTGTGTGTGTGTGTGTGTGTGTCTGGGTGCTTGTTTGAAAGCTCTGTGGGCAGCCTGGGGTAGGAGGCTGGTGTGGCTGCTGACCGCCTAATTAACTCCTCCAAGTGTGTTTTGTGTTTGGCCTGTGAGGAAGTCTGGGGACCTGGTTTGTGCCCACCAGAGGCTTTTCCCCTGACTGACAAGGTAGTGTGGCCTTAAAATGTGAACTTTGTCTTACACGGGCGTTCTTAAGACAGCATCTGCCCCCGAGAGACTGAACAAACTTGCTTTAAATCCCCAAGCAGGGAGCGTTTAAATGGGGTTGCTTGCTTGCTTTCAGCTGGCTGGGAAGACTAAGTAAGAATTCTAGAAAAGAGGGGGAAAATGAATGGGTTAAAACCATGAAGCCCCAGTCAACATAGCGGTTTTCATTGCATAGAGCTGACTCTGTTATTTGTTTCTGCTGTCCTTTCCTCTGAATTCTTAGCCTGGAATTCAGGTCCGCAGTCCATTTCAGCAGGGAGCTGTTTGAGTCCAAAGGGAAATTTAACTGGATTAAAAACACTTAAAAAATCTGGATGTTATCTCCACCCCCCCTTACACCCCCCCCCACCTTTTCCTCTTTCTTTTTAGTTTGTGTTTGGAAGGAAGAGAGGCACTCTGTAAAATGAGAAGAGCAGAAATAAGCTTCCAGACACATGGAAAGACTTAAAATTATGGAGGGGCGACTTCATGAATAGTAAATGTTGTTATTGCACTATAAAGTGACTTAATGAAAAAATTTCTGGCCCTAATCAGGCACACCAGGGGAGTGGGGGAGAGGGAGGTAAGACAGAACTAACTCAAACAGAAGTAATGGCTAAGGAAAGAAGGTAGCTAGACAAATGATTTCAAAATCTCTGATAAGGCTCTTGGAATAGGTTTCATGGATATGTAATTGACCTTCCTTACAGGCTTGAGGTTGGCTCTCCACATACACTCATCTACTGACTGTTGGGGAGAGAAGAACTAGCTGGGAAAGAAGGAGCATATTAGCTGCCAAATGGCTTGGCTCTATCTTTGAGACATCTCCACGTTTGCTTCTTACACCAGCAACCAGACCTTTAATGGGGGTGCTCTTCTGGGTGCCATCAGGTGCTCTCCCCTCATTTTGACATTGTCAGAAAGTTTATTAGCCTTGAGAATTCAGGAGTATGTAAGGATTGAGCTCTCCTTAATCTTTAGAGAAGGACCTTCTTGATGTCATGGACTAAACACTGCCCTACTTAATCCAACATAGAGAGTGCCATGTGGATGGGGTATCTACTAGATGATGCACACAGGCAGGAGCCGGGTTTCTGGGACAGACTTTTTCTAAATTCCTAATCACTTTCTTCCTAAGCAGACTGGATTGTCCTTTATTGTCTTGGGGAATAACTTCCTCTTTCTCTTTCCATCCCCAACTCTATCCCTTTGGATCCAAATAACTGGCCTAGAAACCAGTTCTCCTGCATTTTGTGTATGAGCAGGACATGTAGAGGGCAGGGGCATGTCTTCCAACTTTGAGCTATGGCACATGTGTCGCCTCTTGGGCGGTCTTGCATATAGCTGACCTTCACTTGAGGATGTGAGAGATAAGTGAGACTTTCACAGCACCTGTGAAAATCTGCCTGATTTTTTTCAGGATAGAATCCAGAATCTGCATCTCCACTCAAGACATAGTTTGAGATTCTACTAAATGTCCTAATCCCATACATTCAGCTTACCTGTTGCTTCCTCAAAATTGGTGAATGGATTTCAGTTACCTGATTCAGGTGGAAGGGAATGGCTTTTAGGACAGTTGGTATGAAGGCAGGACAGGGACTTCTAGAAGCTTCTGACTGGTGAGTTGGGGGTGATATTTATTGGTCTACTCAGTCTGGTCTCAATGACCTAAAGAGTAGGCGCATAGGAAGACAGATGCCTGGCCGATGGTTGCTGGCAGAGAGGAGGCTTTGTGGATTCTTGGCCTTCTGGTGGATCCCTGAGTATGTACAGCTTCCCTTTTAATTCCGCTCGCATATGTTTGGAAGCTTAAACTCGCATCTGCTGATACTTTTTACCTTGATAATTTCAAAGACTGTAGGTGATTTTCTTCCTTAGTCTCATCTGACCTGAGGGTTTAATTAACATTTTTCTTAAAGACAAATCTCAGATGCTGAAATACTTGAGAAGGCTGTTGAAGACTGAGATTTTCTAGATTTTTAGATGACCTGATAGCCTTCAGAACGGGCCTCCTCTGGTGGAAAACTGACTGGTTGGGGGCAGTTTCAGTGACTGACCAAACATTTAGTGTCTCTATCCTTCACACAGAACCAGCGTCCACCTCAGACTGGCGATATGAAACACCTGAGTAACCGAATGTGGATTTTTTTTTAATTCTCTTGTGTGCTGCTGTGTAATTCCAAAGTTGAAGCTTGCCTCTGATTTGTGCAGAGATTGGCCAAAGTCACATGTAGGTAAAATGGCTTTAAGAGCAGGTGTGTGTGTGTGTTTAAGAAAGCCTAACTCAGGGAAACAAATCCTAACTGCATCAGTCTTGTGAATCTGAAGGAAAGTTGGCCAGCACCTCTCCTACTTTACCAAAAAATGATGCTTATTTCTGGTGAAGGGAACAAAGTATACCAAGTATGAACAGAAAAGGCTAACCTTCCTGTTAGACCCTAGCTCCCATTCCGCACAGTTGGGTAGCTTGAGAGCATGGGTCCTGGAGTTCCATTGGCTTAGTTCAAATCCCAGTTGACACCTTGGTTGCTTATGTGACCTTGGACAAATTGCATAACCTCTCTGTCTTTAGGCGTTCTTATCTGGAGAGAATAATAGTACCTACCCCATGTTTGTGGGAAGACTGTTGAGCTAATATACCTAGAATGTTTTATTCTGTTTGACATAGAAATTTATGTTCAGTCTTGTTTTTCCCCCACCCCCTTCCCCGGCTCAAACAACTGAATTATGTATCTGTGAAGGTGGAATGAAGAATTTCTTTGTCAAACCCAGAAGCCCCTCATTTACCTGAAAAATGTTGACCATTTAAGCACTTAATTTTAACAAAGCCTGTGTGTTTGCTGTGCTCCTGCTGAAACAGGCAGGGAGTCATTCTCTGTTCTTCGCCTGGGGGCCTGCAGTTTGGTTTGGTCAAGCTGACCTCCTTGGATCTCACTGAAGTCTCTCCCACCCCCTTCTTCGACTCCCTAGAGAGAGGGAGCAGCCCTTCCCCTGTAGTCAGCATTACAGCAGAAGGAAGTGGGAAGGGAGGGACCACCCATGCTAAGCCTAGTGACTAGGCAAGAAATAGTCTTCTAAGTGCATGCGACCCCATACTCTCCTTGCCCACAGAGCTGGGCAGGTTTCCATGGTTTCTCCCCTTCCCGCATCCTTCTTTTACCCTGGACGGAAGCCTGCCACTCTAGGGTAAGCAAAATCGAACAAATTGCTTCCTGGTCTAAAAATGGAAGCTATTTTTTTTTAATTATTAAATGAAGTACAATCTCCTCACAACCTACCTTATTCTTTTCCTGCTTCTCCTGTATTTATTTTAATCCCAATTCTTAATTGTCTAATGCTTTATAATTTTTCCATCATCAAGATAGCAAAATATTAGGCTTATGAAATAGCACAAACATAAAAGCTATTGCTCCAATAGAGAAGCAGCCTGGAACAATTTTTTCCTCTGCTGCCACAACATACATAAGCTAGCTGGAGGCAAGTGACCTCTCACTGCCTTAAACTTGTAGAACTACAAGTGCATGGGGTGGGCTGAGTGAGTTTTCAGCTGTAGAGAAGTTTCAAGAGGCTGAATGCATGAGGGCTGTTCCTTACATTTTCAGGTAATCATAGAATAGAGAAGCCAATCGAATAGAAAGCCATCCCCTTGGAAAAGCCAGGTTTGAATATTGTACCGTCTGGAAGAAGTTTGGGAGCAGAGGTGAACATTTTCTCTGGGTGAAAAGCTATCCTGTTTCTCCCTAGCAATTTTATGCAAAGTGTTACTCTGAAATAGATGAAGATCTTTATGTGACAGATGAACTGCTGTCAATTCTCAGTGAATGATCAAATTAATTCAGTCTTTCAAATTTGAACTCTCAGCTCAGTATGTATTTCATGGATAGATAGACCTCATCTGAAGATGACATTGGTTCTCAGAGTGTAGTTCCCACACCAGCACATCAGTGTCACCTGGGAGCTTATTAGAAATTCAAATTCTTGGTCCCCATCTCAGACCTAGCTATCTGGCTGATCCAACTGTGTTTCAACAAATCCTCCATGTTATCTCAGAGTCACTTTCATGTCTCAGCTGTTTTATAGTTCAGTTGTTTAGTGGAAAACATAACTAAGTGCCTGAATTCCTACAGTCACAGAAATACAAAGGCAAGACATGGAAACCTAGGTCAGTTTGACTGAATCTTTTCTGCAGAAAAATGAAAAATCATAGACCTTGCACATTTTTTGCCAATATCTAAAGTATTGTTTCTTTTACCCTAGGAAAACCAGTATACTCAGTTTAATATTATCATCTCACTTCCAAGTCCTTTCTCTCCTTTTGGGTTTATAAAGAGCATAATATAATCTCTATTTATTAGGAGGTTTTCCCAGTTACTTCTTTTTGAAAGGATTGTAGTGAAGTAAACCAGCACTCTCAAAAACAGGTGATTTTCTCTAATATATCAGAGTTTTTATTTTGTTTCTTGCCCAAAAGTGCAAATGAAGTCCTCTCCATGATGGAAAATGAATCCA